AAAACCGAATCATGACAAATATGGAAGATATAAGATGGTTTCGGGCTTTGGGGGCATCGAGATTTAGAAGCGCAGCCTAAAAGGGAAAACATTTCTCTTGATATTTGCATATACTTCCTCCTTTTTCTTCCAAAACTTCCAGTAGCACGAGAGATATCCTAATTGTTTTCATTTATCTACAGATTTTATTCTCAATATATTTTTACAGCAACCACAATAATGACTTATTCAATATCTTCTGGCCGGACAGGATGTGGTAACGGTATAATTGATTTCTTCTCTTTATCTCTTGATAGAGCTTTCCTCATGTCTGTTAAAATAAAAAAGAAACATGGAATAAAATATAGATTAGGAACATAACCTACAATTCAAAGCCCAATGCCTCTCAAACCTCTAGAATGAGATTCCACCCCCAAATCCATCCTGATGATGTTCAGGACATGGCTACGGATAGTTGACTTATGACATTGAGCTCAACATTTTTGTTAAGCGAGACCCTTGTTAAGGGGGGGGATTGTCCCATTTTATGACTTTTCCTCCCATGGTTGTTAAATGAATCACTGCAGTTAAGTGGGTCAGAGGGTTGTTAAGTGAATCCGGCTTCCCCATTGACTTCGCAAGAGGGGACATAGCATCCATCATCAGTACATACCAGTTGCCCAGTTTTCTAATTTTGATCACATTACGTTAATGCAGTGTTTCTCAACCTTGGGGACTTTAAGTCCTGTGGACTTTAACTCCCAGAATCCCCCAGCCAGCACATCTGACCCTGATCTAGTGCCAATTTAGCTTTGACCATTACTCAACCGGATTCTTGTGTATAAGTATCAATAATAAACTCTTCACTGCTTTAAACTCAGTGAGTCTTTCTGGTTCTTTACAACTCATGTTGTGTTTGTCCCAAATACCCTCTACTGCAGTGTTTCTCAACCTTGGCCACTTGAAGATGTCCGGACTTCAACTCTCAGAATNTCATCCAGTTCTTAACGGCCTCAAGACCCTGGTTCATCACGTCCATTATCAAGAATGTTACACCTATTTCAAGCAATACCAATAAAACTGGAGAAAAATATTTTGAAAGTATGAAATATATATGGCAAGAGAAAAATAGCAAGAATTAACATAAAAATGTTGGCAGATGTAAGAGCTAGTGGTAGGTTTGGATTACCAAATTGGTAACTGTATTATCAAGCAGCGGTATTAACTTGGATGAAGGAATGGATTGTATTGAGAAATACAAGACTTTTGATGCTAGAAGAACATGATTTGCAACATGCCTTTTTGTGGTATGGTAAAAGTAAGATACATGGTTACTTCCAAAACATTATGTAATAAATGGATTATTAATAACATGGGAAAGAATAAAAGGGAAACATTATCTAGAAATACCAATGTGGCTTTCAACAATGGAAGTATTGGCACATACAAATATTAGTAACATGAAGAATATATTAACAGATATAAAGATATCTTAAGAGAAAGGGGAGAACTAAAACAAAAGCAAGAATTGGAAGAACAAGAGATTGATATAGCTTGGTTTTTGCAACTGCAAATAAAAGCAAAGTATGAAAAAGATAAGAAAGAATATGGTTTTAACTTGGGAAGCTCAGAGCTGGATAAGATACTGATGGGAACAGAAGAAAAAATAATTAAGAAATTGTATAATTATTTGTTAAGAATTAGAGTAGAAGAAGTGGTCAAGGACACTATGTTAAACCGGGCAAAGAATTTTGGTTACACGATTGAGCTAGAAAAATGGCAGCAACTATGGGAAAGAGACTACAAACTAACTGTCAGGCGTACCTCCTTCAATAACCAAGAAAGAAAACCGCCAACTCCATTTGAATAGAGATAAAGGTACTTTTACTGGATATGAAATGAAAGCAGCAAAAAAAAAAAGCAAGATCTGAGTCAAAAAGGCGTGAACATGTACATATCAAATGTTTACCCAGCACCCTCCCCTCAATTACCCCAACCCAATATCCAATCTGCAACTCCCTGAGGTGTCATGTGGGTGCATCTTCAAAAGGCCTCATACAGTTGGTATGCAGAGACAGTTGACCTTGACAAAGCTCAAACACAAACCATCAGCATACACAGAATATGGTGAGAACAAAACTCCCTTCTTGATAACTCCTTCAGTACCAGTAATTCCCCTCCAAAATACTCCTCCAAAATACCAAAATGTTGTTTTCCTTCAATAAGGAGGGGAACAGGGGTGGGGTTTAAAGATATGTGTTCCGATTTCAGTAAGTTCACATGGAACATGAGATGGATTCTCCTAAGGGTTTTTGGCAATTCCAATTGCACTGACATAGGATTCACAATTTTAACCATGGGGAAAGGACCCACATATTTTGGACCCAGTTTTTTCGACTTCTGGGTAGTTTGAAGAAACTTAGTGGACAAGAATACCCTATCCCCAACCTGGTATTCTTTTGGCTTTGACCTTTTTTTATCACCTTGTCTTTTGTGTGCTTGGTGAGCTGGGTCTAAGGCTTTGCGGGTCATAGACCAGAAACGTTGAAGTTGATCACTCCACTCAGACAAAGATAAGTTTTGTGGTTTCTCCTGAGGCAATTCAGGAATAGGTACAAAATCCTGGCCGAACATACTTTAAAAGGGGTCATTCCAGTACTGCTATGTACCAAATTGTTGTACGCCACCTCTGCATAGGGCAAGAGGTCAGCCCAATTATCCTTCTCATAATTGACATAGCACCTAAGATAGAACCGAGTTAGCCCTTTCACAAGCCCCATTAGTTTGCAGATGGTGGGCAGAGTTTAGTCACTGGGTGGAGCCTATTAACTTTAGGAACTCTTTCCAAAAGAGAGGGGTGAATTGGACCCCCCCACTATCTGAAATAATGCATTCAGGAACACCATGTTGATTGATTGATTGATTGATTGATTGATTTCATTTATATGTCGCCCTTTTCCCCGAAGGGGACTCAGGGCGGCTCACAATTCAGTCGGGAAGGGGTACAGACAGGGGGTAAAAGAAAAAAACAAACATAACAGTACACAATTTAAAAACACACAACAACCATAACATTCGAGAAGGGGGGGCAGAAGCTTTTTAGCCCCAGGCCTGTCGGAATAGCCAGGTTTTAAGGGCTTTNGACGCCTTATTCCAGCCTTGATGTCAAAAGACAAATGGAAATAAATCTCAAGCGGTCTGCCTAGCTTGTCAGTTTGCCAGATGACCTCTGGCTAGCCTATATATGAATGCTCAACTATATAGACAATGCTTCCTTCTTAGGCTTCTTGTGCAGTACAGCAGGAACAAGGGGATTTTAACTAGTATTCACTGCTTCCTGCTAAAGTACAGGTAGTGCTCCACTTACCCAGAGGTTGGCTGCTGGGGGCTCGCACAGGTTCGGGTGATCCTGTAGCAAGGATTCTGCCCAGTTTGGCAACCCCTGGCTGGCCACGCCCACCCAGACCCTCCCACCCAGACCCTCCTAGGAGTCTCCACGTGGCCCATTCATCATGCCAGGTAAGTGCAGAGCCCACATGGAGGCTTGGAGAGAGGGGACAACGGGCCTACTGGAGGTTCCGGGCCTGTTTCCGACCTCCAGAAGGCCTCCGGAGCCCGGGGGAAGCAGTTTTCACCCTCCCAGAGGCTTGAGAAAAGGCTCCAGAACCTGGGGAGGTCAAAAAACACCCTCCCCCGCTGACTAGACCACACCCACCACGGCCATGGCCACCCAGCAATGGGGCAGTGAATCCATTGCTGCAATTTTTGTAGCCCACCCTGCTTACAAAGTTCACTTAGTGACTGTTTGAAGGTACAATGGCACTGGAAAAACTGACTTATGACCAGTTTTCAAACTTATGACCATGGCAGCATCCCTGTGGTCACGTGATCAAAATTCATGTATTTATGATGGTGGCAGTGTCTTGAGATCATGGGATCACCTTGTGCAACCTCCTGACAAGCAAGTCGATGGGGAAGTCAGATTCACTTAACAACATTGGAGAGTTTCAAATAATTTAGCAACCGGTTTGCCCAGGGTCAGGTTGGCTGTCATGGGAGGCATAGCCCACCCCCATCCTCCAGCTCCAGGGCACATCAGGGATGAGCCTCCCACAATGGCCAATTTGACCCTGGGTAAACCAGTTGTTAAATTAACCCCCTCCCCCCGCTATCAAAGTGGATTCTGGATGCTGTGCTAATGAAGAAATGGGAAACGGAGCGGCCAACACGAGGGAAGGAGGGGAGCAGGGAGAAGAAAGAGGGAAAGTGGCCTTCTCTTTCCCTTATGCTGGGTACTCCATTGTCCGTTTCTCCATTGGAGCTCAGCACCCAGGATCCACTTTGATAGCCAGGATGTTTGTGCATAATTTAACAACCAGTTCGCCCAAACCAGTGTGAACTGGCTGAATACCACCACTACTTAACAACTGTTAATAACTTAGTAACTACAGAATAATAGAGTTGGAAGGGACTTGGAGGTCTTCTAGTCCAGTCCCCTGCTCAAGCAGGAGACTCTATACTCTTTTAGACAAGTGGCTGTCCAGTCTTTTCTTTAAAACCTCCAGTGTCGAAGCACCCACAACTTCTGAAGGCAAGCCGTTCCACTCAGGGGTGGGACTCAGCCGCTTCGGACCAGTTCGAGTGAACCGGATGTTAATTTTGCATTCGGTTTGCTGAACCAGTAGTTGCAAGGACTGGCTCGGCCCACCCACCTCTCCCCTCCCCTCCCAGGAGTCGCCGTTCATCATGCCAGGTAAGCGCCGGGCCTGAGCGGAGGCTCCGGGAGGATGAAAAATGGGCCTCCTGGAAGTTCCAGAAGTCTGGAAATGGGCCTGTTTCCGGCCTCTGGAGCCCGNATAAAACTGAGCCACCCGAGTTAGCGCTCCGGTTATTCACAGCGCCAACCGGGAAGTCGTTTCCAGGATACCCCCCCGGGGAAGCACGTTTTTTCAACAAGCCATATAAGAATCCGGGCCAGTAACCAGATCGAGCCCATTCCATTTCCAGCCTCATCTGCTTACCGTTCGGATATCAAAATCCTGCATCGAGGGGCTTTTGAGCCACTTCCGGAGGTAATGCTTGCGCACCGAGAGCTCGGCCTGGAAAATGGCGAGCGGGATGGCTCTGGGCGGAAGGAAGGAGAGGATGGTTGTTGTTGTTAGTTGCAAAGTCGTGTCCGACCCGCCGTGACTCTGGGAGGGGCCATTCACCGTCCCCCTGTGGCCTCACTCCCAAGTCGACCCCCTGTTCCTTAGCTGCTCCCTTCGTCTGGCAACTCTGTGCATGCGCACACTGGGAACAGGCTCCAGCTGTTCGTCTGCCTCACTGATGTCTGACTCCGAAGGTAGCTGATAACTGGCATACGGCCCTGGCCCCCTCTCTGCCTCCGACACAGAGCCCTCATCAGAGCCTTCCCCAGACTCCAGGACTGGCCCACGTTCCTCCCCAACTGTCCGAATCACTGTCCGAATCTGCTGCCAGCTCTGCTGGCGGGCCACAACACTATATTAGACTTTAATATATGAAGTTACCTGCTGGCAATGTTATATATTAAAGTCCAATTATATTGCACTCAGCTCCAATTCATTTTAACTCACTTCCATGCTTGCCAGCCCTTTCCCCGCATAAATCCAAGACTCACATCCCTGTTTTTTTCAGAGGTCCCTTGCCCTCCCCACACAAACATAAATATTCACTCACCAGAATGCTCCCGTCCTTCAAAAGTGATACCCACGTCTTTCAATGCGCCATTTAAACCCTGTGGCTTCCTAGAGTAAAAGCTCTGTGAAACAAAAGGAGAAAATAAGATCCTCATTATATCTGTTTTGCTCAATGATATATAAATTGCTGAGGGCTCTTTAGGCCTCAAGCCTTGGCCCCGTTAAGATAGCTGGATGTTTCTGGATTAAATTGGATGCCCCCCTCCTTGAGGGAGATGGATCGTTAAGAAGTGTGAAATATAAACAAACAAACAAATAAAATGTCTATTTTCTTGTCATTATTATCAGCAGAGACAAATACTCTCACCTTGTAAGTGGCCCGTAGGTCAATCCACGAATTTAAAATATTAGGCTTCCGCAGCTGTTTTCTTTTACATTCATAATGCAAGCAAATTCCCAGGTCCCAATCTGCATAAAAAACAAATAAAGATTTCCTGATCGTCCCCTCCCTAGTTTTTCCACCCTCGGTGTGAAATTTTTATTTTTTGTGCAACCACCATGATTTCATGCAATAGAAACACAAAAACCAAAAGCAAGAGAAGTGGTCTATTAAGCCCTGTCTATTGGGAAGCGCAGTGGCTCAGTGGCTGAGACGCTGAGCTTGTCGATCAGAAAGGTCGACAGTTCAGCGGTTCGAATCCCTAATGCTGCGTAACGGAGGGAGCTCCCGTTACTTGTCCCAGTTTCTGCCAACCTAGCAGTTTGAAAGCATGTAAAAAATGCAAGTAGAAAAATAGGGACCACCTTTGGTGGGAAGGTAACAGCGTTCCGTGCGCCTTCGGTGTTTAGTCATGCCAGCCACATGACCACAGAGACATCTTTGGACAGTGCTAGCTCTTTGGCTTTGAAATGGAGATGAGCACCGCTCCCTAGAGTCAGGAATGACTAGCACATATGTGCAAGGGGAACCTTTATCTGTTAGGATAGATACAGGTGCTGCTGGCTGC